ACACACACAGATACATACTCATACACACACACACACACACACACACACACAGACACTCTCTCTCACACAGACACCCTCACCCTGAAAGTTCCAATGGGATACTCCTCAGGTTTGGGAAGTTTTGATTTGTTGTTTTTAACGATAGGAAATTTTTAGCTAAGGAAAAGTATTTTATATTCAGGTTGAGTAGCACACATGCAGAGAATACATACAGATTTTATCTCATTATGGCAGTTTAGCTGGTGCCTGAGTCTTCACACCACAGAGTGTGGCTGTTTGCTTGGCACAGCATCATTGCCTTGTAAATCGATCATTTTCAGGCATGTATGTTAGTCTTAAAAACGCAGCATTTACCTGCCACCTGAAACACATTCTGTGAAACACGCTACTGGAGAAGGGATTTTACAGTCTCCCACCTTCATCTCGTTCCTCTCATGATGCAGAAATCTGTTGGTGACAAGGGGGTCGATGTGGTTGTTGAGATGCTGGCAAACGTAAACCTGAATAATGACTTGAAGCTTCTGTCCCGTGGAGGGCGGGTGATTGTAAGTACCGTTCTTCATCACTTTGGCTTCCTCTGCCTTTTTTAAAAACCCCCTTTCACAGTAATCCTCACTGGGCCTGCTGTTCTCATGACAGGTTGTTGGCTGTAGAGGTTCTATTGAAATGAACCCACGGGACACCATGGCAAAGGAGACAAGTATAATTGGAGTTTCTCTCTTTTCATCCACCAAGGTAGGGAAGGGGGGTTCTGATTTTGCTGACGGAAACACGGGGAGGTCTGTGTAGTCAGTAGATTGACAGTGAAAGTAGATGTTGAGCTTGGTCACCCGACTAGAGTGGTAGGTACCAGTCAGTCACTAGGTGGTCTATGAGAGCAGCGGCATTATCCAGTCTGTGTTTGGGAGAGGACATACTAATTGTATATGAAATACTTTGAAGACAGTATTTCATATACTAACACCGTTCCAGGCACGTGCGGTTGACAGAGAATTAAAAGGTAATTCTGGGCAAACTTGAATTCTGCACATTTATCTCTTTCTCCTAGGAGGAATTTCAACAGTTCGCAGGCATCCTCCAAACAGGAATGGAAAAAGGTTGGGTGAAACCAGTGATAGGTTCTGAGTACCCCTTGGAGAAGGTCGTCCAGGCCCATGAAGACATCATCCACAGCAGTGGGAAGACCGGAAAAATGATTCTTGTCTTATGAGGACCAGCTCTTTCCAGGACGCCCTGTGTCCACGTGACACCTTCTTCTCCAAGTCTTTCTTATGTCAACTTTAATAAGCATTCATGCCATTGAGTTCCATGTATTAAAAACATGACTTTAGGGAGTAGACACAACGAAATAGCATCATAGTGGAGAGCAGGGTATCATCTTATGTGGTGTTGGCATCATCTTAAAACTTTTTGCTTCTCTCTGTTTTCTTTGTTTGATTTGGTGTTTCACTTTTGTTTTTGAGCAGGATCTTGCTCTGTAGTCCATGCTGGCCTTGAACTCATGGTGACCTGTCTGTCTCAGCCTTCCAAGTGCTGGGATAATAGTTATGGATGGCCAAACACAGCTTTATTTCAGAACTTCTTCATTCACTCCACGCCTTTGAATAAAATATGCTAATTCAAAGTAAGACTGTTGGTCTCCATGGGCTTCCCAGCCTACCTAGCTTTATTTAAGGTTCACCAGTTTTCTGATCAGTCATGGTTGTCATGGACTCTGAAGACTTTCTGGGCTGAAAAAAACATCCTTTTAAAACTAGTATCATCTCAGCCTATGGGCCCTGTGAAGGCCAGAAATGAGCAACATCTGGGAAAGATGTCAGCCAGTTTCCCTAACATTTCTGAAAATGCTGGAGTACTCACTGCGTGCTGGTCACCAGCCATATTTTGGGAGGCCAGCAACCTTATCCTGGGTCTGTGGTATTGAGTACAGTGACCCATTAAATGCTTCATGGTTGTAAGTTCACAAATTTAACACATTAAGAAAGGTCTGCTGTGGCTCATAATGTCGAGACGGAGTGAATTCTGTAGGGCACTGAAGCCTGTGCCGTCTCATTGGGCAGCAGACGCCTCATTTCTCATAGCTCCAGGCCTTATGGCAGCTTAGGAGGCCTGTTCTACACTGGAATTCTTTTAGACTAAATAAAAGGGCAGTTGTTTAGAAATCTCACACCAGTTTATGTCCAAGAAGATAGGTTTGGCCACTCACTTTTGTTTTTTGTTTTGTTTTTCTTCACATGAGTGTATCACCCTGTTTATTGTTGCATTATGTAGGCAATTGTCATGTTTCATTTGTTCTGTAGAACAACAGTTTGCAGTCTGAACATGGACTCCTGAGAAGCAGTGAGCAGAAATCACTGTTGATGCAGCTGGGGGATGTGGCTACTGATGGCCTGATGTATGAGCTGTGATGAGGGTTTCAGCCATTAGCATGGCCTAAGCTTAGCCACTGTCATCTTACTGCTGAACCACCCTATAAAATAACATTTTAACAAAGTTCAGAAAGACAGTGTCTTAGATCCTTAGGATAGTGGTTTTTTGTTTTTTGTGTTTCCTAAAATGGAGAGTCCTTTAGATAAAGGCATGATGTGTGCATGGACGACTTGATATGTTTGCAAACTTGCCTTGTGAACAGGAGCTAACACAGAGACTGCATGCTACTTCACAGTCATTGCTGAGAGCAGAACTAGCCACACTGGAATTAACTGCCAGGTGTAAGATGTTGCAGCACCAGGCATGGTTCTGTGTGGATCTCTCTAATCCTGGCTCTAGTCCTGTCCCAGCTTCTGGACCACTGTCATCACTAACAAGGGCTTGGGGCCCAGGTCACCAGGGGCTTTCCTCCATGAAAGGCAGACAATCATCATTTCAGTGCTGTACCTTCTGGATTTCTGCTCATGGTTTCTTTGAGTTCCATGCCCAAGATTCATGCAAGAGAACAAAGTGGAAAGCAGCTCTGATCCCCAAAGCTGTAACAAAATACTCATGGTCCTGTCCAGTTTTTTTTTTTCCCTGCATATTGATGTTAAACTTTAAGCTCTTGAACTTACCTATGAAAGTCTTTGGCTTTCTATTCCTCTGGCTCCCATAGGCATCAAACAGCCTGCTTCCCAGCTCTGGTCTGCATGGGTTCCTCTCATTATTCTGATTGTCCATCATCCTCACCTGTCTCTGCTTGTCTGCTGATTGGCACATAGTCATTGAGGCTCAGTCAGTTCATTAGTAGCTCAGCAGCCGTCAAGTCTGGGAAAACACTCTGCTGGAATTGGAGGTGACAAAGATACATAAAACAGGACCCATGACCCAGGGTCCATTGTTGAATGGGGCTGAGAACCTGTGAAATATTTCTCACCGTGGAGGGGGGCATCTGTCAGGGATCCCTGAGAAAAATCCTTCAACTCATTGGAAATGGCCTCCTTGTGCTATTGAAGAACTTTCCTTAGACTTGACTATAATTCTTTTTTGTAAACAGATAAAACATGACTATGTTGACATTTAACCAACCATCAGAGGTGACTCTGGGACACAGGACAGTCACTTAATGTCACTTGGAAGTTCTACCTGCACATTTAACTCTTGTAATGGTCTTTGTCAGCTTTTTATATCTGCTTTGTCCATAGAACCACAGCCGGGGACAACTTAGATACTTCTGTAAGGAAAGAAAACCAGGAAACCTTCCATAATGTCCTTATGTAAAACGTTAAAGTGGGAAATTACTCGTGTCCCTAGGATGCCCACGATTCTTGGGATAAAGAGCCGGTTTTCTCTACCAGGTAATTTCCAAGAACAATAAAACCAGTCAGGTCAGTCTGACCTAACTTAGCTTCCTGGCTCAGCCACATCGAAAGGCAGGAAAGCGCCCCAGCACAACCTTTAGCCATCTCTATTAGTGCCAATTTTGAGTCCGGCACTTTCACAAATGCTGTTTAAAATTGCCATAGCAGTTTTACCAAAGAGCCCATATTTTGGGAACTTCCTCCACGCAAGGCCCAGGGGGTGTTATGTCATAGAAACCTAGGTTCCCCGTTGTCAGCCAGTGGCCTGTCAGGCACCCCTGATGGCTTCTTTGTGTCCCTTCAGAGTAATCATGAGCTCACTCCCAAACCAGTGTGTGATACAAACATTCATTAAAAATGCTGAGTATGTGATGGGAAGAAGTCCCCTTCAGCTGAGAATTCAATCTAAGACTCAGAGACACAGAGGACCATAGCCAATGCATAAGATGTCACCTCTGACAGTACAGAGCCAAGAGCTTATAACAGTTGGGGAATGTTGTCATAGTCTTGTCTACAGGACCATCCTAGCATAGTCTTCTCTTCCTGCCCTAAAAGATTTTCTCTGGAGCTAAGCAAGTTTTTCAAAAGCAGTAGTTGTAGGTTTTGAATTAGGACATGGTATGTAAGTAGGTATCAGTGGGTTTTTTGTTGTTGTTGTTTGCTTTTTGGGATTTTTGTTTGTTTGTTTTATAAAGTAACCAGAAGTACCAGTTCCTGATTTACTGTTCTACATTAAAAACAAACAAACAAACTACAGGGCTGGAGAGATGGCTCAGTGATTAAGAGCACTGCCTGCTCTTCCAAAGGTCCTGAGTTCAATTCCCAGCAACCACATGGTGGCTCACAACCACCTGTAATGAGATCTGGTGCCCTCTGCTGGCCTGAATAAATAAATAAATGCTAAGAAGCAAAACAACACTACTAAAAAGACTGTAATGCTAGTAGTTACTTAAGCGGCACACACCACCATTCACTGGGAATTTCTGAATCCATCGTTGTTTGAGTCACTGAGCTGAATTAGGTAGGAAGAAGTTCAAATTCAGAATTGCCTCTAGGACACAGGAGCTGCAGTCCTGGAAAGCCACACTCCTGTGACCAGAGGCAGGGGTACCTAACAACAGTGCCAGGCCGTCTGTGCAGGCCGTTTCTCTGCAGTGTCTCCCAAAGGCCCAGGTGTCAGCTGCTTGCTTGGCCCTCTGCTTGGTGATACTGAGAGGTGGCAGGGCCTTCAACAGGTGGAGCTGTTAACAGGTTCTTTGTCACAGGGCATGCCATCGAGGGGACTGTGGGACTCCAGCTGCTTCCTTTCTATCTGCGGTAAGGGTGATGGGGCTTCATTTACCACACCTTTCTGCTGTGATGAGCATCAGGCCATGGTCCATGAAGTCACCCACTCATGGGCTGAAGTCTCCAAATTGGATCTCAGACAAACCCTTTCTATTTTAGTGGAAACTGGCCAGCCCAGATTATCAGTAGCTAAATACCCAGAAAGTATTTTGAAAACGAATGCTGATTGGAGGATCACTGTGCTGCAGCATAGGCTGGAAGGGAGACTATTACCCGACAATCGAGGCCGATAACCCCAAACTGAGACGTCATGTCACGGGACAGTAAGCACATGATTGGCACGAGGAGTTAAGAGGCTACTTTACTACAAGTGCAGATTGGAAATGACTGGAGGAGGGACCATGTGCATATATAATCCTGACACAGCGAAAATCAGGGTTTGGAAAGGCACAAGACCTAGCTGTAGAGGCCAGATCTGTTGCTGACCATCTGTGGAACTGGAGGCAATGATTTAATAACTAGAGGCTCAATCTGATAATATGCAACGTGGTGGAAGGCAAAGATTTCAGAATGGGAGAATTACCATGCAGTCCTTTGTGATCCATCTTACACAAAGACGTGATTAAATGATGCTTAGTTTTTAGGAGCCAAGAAGAAAGGATACATGGAAGAAAAAAGGAGAGGAGTGAAGAGAGAACCCAAAAAGCCAGTTCCCACAGGAGTTAGAAGTGAATGTAACTATAGAAAACTTTATCACATAGAAAAACTTGGTAGGTAACTCTCCCCTCAAAGAAATGTTGTGTGTGTTGGGGGAGGAGTTGAGTATAAATGTGACCCAAGGGGCAGCTTTTTAATTATAGTAGTCTATAAAAAGCCACACTCAAACTATAGATCTCCTTTGACCAATACAATTCCCCCCACAGGAAGTTCTCCTAGAAAGCCAAGCATGTCTACAAGAATATGCGTGAAAGTGATTTACATGTCAACCGTACTAATGGTAAAATATTGGGAGCAATTAATCAGGTTTCCATCAGTTGAGTGACTAGCATGCAATTACAACCACACACAACAGGTATTGCCCAGGTATTCCCCCCCCAAAAAAAAAACCCAGGAAAATGAGAAAAGCAATTAAAAATGTTCTGAGCTAAACAACAGAGTAGTATATCACCCAGAGACTACCCATGTCTGTGAAAAACACTGCTGGTGATAAAAGATATACTTTAAGGTTATCTGAAATCCAAATAATTAGATTTAGAAAGTGTAGTAGTTCTTTTCTCATTGCTGTGACAAAACGTCTGACAAAAGTGGCTAATGGCAGGAAGGGCTTCTTAAGGGTCATGGTTTGCCATGTCCAGTCCTTCATGGGTCGGGAGAGGTGGTGCGGCCACTGTGCTGCGCTGGACACTTTTCCTCCACGGTCAGGAAGCAGAGAGAGATGATGATACTGGCACCTTGCTCACATGCACAGAAATTCCTTCACAGATGGGCCCTGACGTGTGTCTCCTTGGTGATTTTCAACCCAGCCATGTGAACAACGAAGTTTAACCACCATACAGAGGAACACAGAG